AAGCATCTTTGTTGTACTGGGCAAACTCAGAAGCTATGACTTCTTCCACCAAACGGCTGAGGCTAGCCTTCCTGCTGAGATTTCATTAAGATCTCCCTCGGCAGGTGGATGCGTCTGCCTAGGGGAGGCCTTAATGATGGATCCTGTAGTTTTTCTTTCTTTCTTTTTTAAATGTTGAAAAGTTTTTTGTTTTTTTTTTTTATTGTGGTAAATAAATAAAAAATCACTTGCCATTTCAACAGTCTTCACATGTACAGTTCAGGAACATTGCTTATGCTTCTCATGTTGTTCAGCCATCAACATTATCTGTTAACCTTAACAGGAGCTCAGTGACCCTAAGCAATGAGTCCTTCTTTCCTCCTCCCGCCTGCCCACCTCTGGTAACCACTAATAAACTTTGGTCTCTATAAACTTGCCTATTCTAGATATTTCGTATAAGTAGGATCATACCATATTTGTCGTTTTGTGACTGAAGTATTTTACTCAGCATAATGTTTTCAAGGTTCATCCATGTTGTAGTATGTATCAGGACTTCCTGAAGTTTTTCTTTTGCTTATTGGACATGATATCACAGAAGATGTATCTAGGATCCTGGGATTAACTACTATTAATCTTAAAAGAAAACTTTTTTTTTTCCCTAATCAGCTGAGAATTGAGTTGACTGAATTATGGCAACCCCATCTGTGCTAGAGGAGAACTGTGCTCCATAGGGTTTCAAATGGCTGATTTTTCAGAAGTAGATCACTAGGCCTTTCTTTTGAGGCACCTCCGGATAGACTTGAGCTTTCACTCTTTTCAGTTAGCAGTTGAGCAAGTTATCTATTTGCACCCCTCAGGGACTTCATTCTATGCGATAAAACAAAACAAAACAAAAAAAAACCAAACCCATTGCCATCCTCACAGCAACGTTATAGGACAGAGGAGAACTGCCCCATAGAGTTTCTAAGGCTGCAATCTTTACAGAAGCAGACTGCCATATCTTTCTCCTGTAGAGCGGCTGATGGGTTCAAACTACCGACCTTTTGGTTAGCAACTGAGTGCTCAACCATTGTGCCACTCAAAACCAAACCAAACCCATTGCCATTGAGTCAATTCTGACTCATTGCGACCCTATAGGATAGAGTACAACTGCCCCATAGGGTTTCCAAGGAGTGGCTGGTGGATTCAAACTGCCGATCTTTTGGTTAACAGCTGAGATTTTAACCACTGTGCCACCAAGTCTCCATTGCACCACCAGGCTTCTTTATGAGATAGAGTCTATTATTTTGATCTTACAACTGAGGGAACTGAGGCACAGAAAAATTAAGTAACTAGCTAAGCTGATTCTCAAAATCGGAAAAAAAAGTATGAGGAAGAAGAAATAATCAAACATTTAAAAAATGTGACATTGTCTTCTGTCTGGAGTGGCCTTGGTAGAGAAGCACAGCTGCTAAACTGACAACTGTGATGAGCATTCTTGGGCCGGATGCACCACAACAAGATGGGTAACAACATCAGGAGCCAAGTATCTATCAAGGAAACCAAACAGGAAATTTGATGTGAGTCATCAGAAACCAGACCATACAGAGAGGGGCCACGCACTTAGAGATGAATGCATAGTGCGTTGTCTAGGGGTGATGGACGGTAGAATTCACACGATGCTATGTTAGAGATGCAGGGCCTCTGGTTTTACATAAAGCTGATATTAACAGATTCTGCTGTTGGAAAAAGGACAGCTTAGGAAACTGGAAATGAACGTCAGCTTCAAGCACTATGAGAAGAGGCTGTATAGATTTTCCAGCCAGTGACGCTGAGTCTTCTGTTTTGGAGATCCTGTGAAAACCTTCAGCAGACTGTGTAGCTTCAGTTGATTTTCTGTCCATTTATCCACCTATTTCTGCAGCACCTGCTGCTGTGGGGACTGGGAGGCAGTTAGCATTATACCTGCTGCCAGGCACAGAATAATCAGAGTTGCACCAATGTAAGCAGGGTTCAGAAAGAGTATCGTTCAGGGCAAGTGAAGCTGCCTGCACTGCTGAGTCTGCTGTGGAAGTCCCAAGAGTTTTCCTTCTAGAAGAGAAGGTCCAGTAGTCCCTAGTCTTCTACTGTAGTCAGTTCCCCCAGTATATCTTGGAGGTAAGAGGGGGAGGTGGGAATAGGTCTTTAAGAACCATGACGCTGACTGCAAAGCAGGGGAACCCCAAGCATTGAGGAGAGCCTGGGGCTTATTTGCTCCAAAAGAGAATTTTGGAAGGAAAACTGCATTTTGCTCATACCAACTAACACTCTGATCCTCAGAACTGACAACTTTTGTGGATCAGTTGAGACAAGAGCAATGACAGATTGTCAAAGTGATTTTAAAGATGTCCAAGTCATATCCCATGAGGACATTAAAAAAATGTCGTTGTTGTTAGATGCTGTCAAGTTGGCCCCTGACTCATGGTCACTCCATGCACAACAGAATACAGTGCTGTCTAGTCCTGGGCCATCCCCATGATCAGTTGGGGATCAGATCTTGTGGTCCACAGAGTTTTCATTGGCTGATTTTTTGGAAGCAGAACTCCAGGGCCTTCTTCCTAGTCTGACTTAGTCTGAAAGCTCTGCTGCAATCTATTTAGCATCATAGCAACAGGTTAGCCTCTACTGACTTGCTGGTGGTGGCTGCCCATGAGGTGCACTGGCTGGGAATTGAACCCAGGACTCCTGCATGGAAGGCAAGGATTCTACCACTGAACTACCACTGCTTCCTCCCCTCCCCCCAAAAAAGTGTCATAGTTAGCCTTAAATGGAAGTTAGCAGAGAGAAGGATTTAAGTGTCGGGGGAAGAGTCCTCAAGTTGGGATCTGGAGATGTGGTTTCAAGGGCTCCCTTGCCACTGGGCAGTCAACCTTACTTTTCATCTCTTTCCTTTTCTGTAAAGTAAAGGGGTTGGCCTAGAGGAGCTCTAACGCCATCCCAATCAACACTGGTGGAGGAACCTGTCTTTTGACTGTTCCCCCTTTACCCAGTCTCTCCCCTCTCCAAGCCATCTCGTTGAATAATAAACAAAACACTTAATGAGTGCCTATTTTGTGCCCAGCACTATTCAGAATTCTTTACAGATACTAACTCACTTAACCCTTGTACAATCCTATGAGATAGATACAAACAAGAGAATTGAGGCACAGAGAAATTAAATAATGAGCTCAGGGTCACACAGCTAGTAAGTGGCTATAAAAATGGCCTGGGTAGGCGTGTGACCTCCTGTATCTTCATAAGGGGGAAGGAGAATCAAGATCAACAGCCCAAGGCTGATTCCTATGAGGCAGAGGTCAGACATACCTTCTCTCTCCAATCTTTATGCCAATTCTGACACCAGCTGTCCCTCCCACAGCACTCTGTACTTCTCAGCTGGGTTCGATGATTCATTAAATGGCCACATAGAACTCACAGTGAATACTCAAGATTATGGGGTTTATTAGGGAAGTATCAGGTTACAATCCAGGAGAAGGAATGACTCAGGATACAGTTCTTCGATGAGGACAGCTTCTTCCCAGCTGTGCCCCTTGGTCCCTCAGCCCCTGCCCTGCTCAGGCAAGTGTTACAAAACTCTTTAGCTCCACCAGTAAGTGTATGGAAGCACCCCACTTCTACAGTAAGCCTCGGCCTGAAGGCGCTCAACTCTCTCACTCTGTGGGTTGGCACACCCACTGTAGCTACATCACTCTGTGGGCTGGGAAGCTCACGCTGGTTTCCTGGTTCTGCTGCCACTGTTTCTCTACCACCACTTCTCGCTGTCTTGTCTCCGGTGTTACAGACTTCTCTCTCTGTATCCTGGGTCTAGGAGGTTCTTAGCACAGGAACCCCAGGTCCAAAGGACATGCTGTACTCCCAGCTCTTCTTCTTGGTTGTAGTGAGGTCCCCCTCTTCTCTGGGATTGACTGACTCTCTTTTAAGCGTAGCGGGATGGCAAAACTGTCCAATTCCCTCGTTAGGGTTCCATGTACCTTATTTACATGATCCCATCTCTTCAGGGTTTCGTACACATTATTGGCATTATTAGCAAGCTGTCCAATCCCCTTGGTGGCCCACAAGCACCTTATTTGCATAGTCCCACCCAATCATTGTGTGGGAGTTACAAAGACTATGGCTAGAAGGACCATATTAAGTAATTCACTGCACTGCAGGGCCTGAACTAAAACCTCAAAAAGGTGCAGCCAGACTCCTCCACAAACAGCATATAATCATGTCACTCTTGTCCTAGCACCCTTGATGGCTCCCTTCTTTCCATCCAACTCAGTGACAGCAACTCAGCCTGGAAACAAAATTGGTCTCACGTAATGAGTTCTTGGTTGTAGCCAGGCCAGCCTCCACACATAAGCCATGCTCATGTCTACTGCCTGCCCAGGACATGCTGCTTCCCCGCCAGATGTGCTTCCAGCCTCTCCTTGCTGCCCACATGGAGAACGGTTGAAGCCCCACTCTTCACCAAGAAACTTTTTCCAGACTACACTAGTACTTTGGGCTCTATCTTTTAGGAATTTCCCTAAGACTTGAGAAAGTGCCATGATCTTAATATTGAATTAGACATGATTTTGCACTGGTTTCTGCCTTTGGGGTAACACTGCGTCACCATCTGTGTCTTTGTATCTGGAGTAGAGGACAGAAGTGAGAATGCAGCAAACAGTAAATAAACACTACGTGACCTGCCTTGAAATGATAGTATCACTGACTTTTATATCAACTCTGCCTTCTATATTGCCTTTGGGATTGGTCTGTGTTTGCATGAATTGCAGTTTTCAAAGTGAGGGCATAAAGAAGGGACAGATGAACATAATTAGGAGAAAAATAATAGGAGCCAGCGAGGCAGAGCTCTGGTTCGTTAATAATGGCCTTTGATTAGAATACTGCTCTTTGAGTAGCATCTTTAGAAATCTCAACATCAGGAGAGGCTGTAATTGCTTACACTGTTATCAGCTCTGTTGTCTTGTCATTTTATTGCTTAGCTGTTTTATATTCTGGGCAAAGAACCAGCTGGGAAGGATGCAAACCCAGTGGCATCAGTGGTAGTGGCTAGCTGCAGGTATTGTCTGTATTTAAGCCTTGGCTTTCATTCAAGTCCTTATTGTGCATTCCTTAAATTGCTTGATGCATCACCTGGAAAGAAGTAATACAGTTGGGTGGTGGGGAAGGGGAAGGCATAAAAATAGGGGAAGAGTTTAAGGTCACAGAATTATGCAGTGCTTACCAAAAAAATTCTAATTAAATTGAAGCACTTTTGATGATTTTTTTCTTTCCTCTTCCATACTTCTGTCTGCTGGATGAAGGGCAACATGCTTGCGGGCCATGCACCTGGGCTGCACCTGGCCTCGGTGTGACCAAACAGGTTTTGCTTCCCCCAAAGCCTGCAGGTTGCTCTCTCTGCAGTGAAGACAGGAGGACTTTCCCAGGAAGTGAGGAGGTAAGGTTTGGTTGTAACGAACAGCGACATCTAGCGTGTGTTTCAGAATTTGCATTTGGTTAAGAGCACAGAATGAAAAGAGCAGAGATAGGAAATCTTATCAAATGCCCAACAAAGGAGAGATAGGCATTTTCTCATTGTTTTCTGTGGTAGAGAAGCTCAGAACTGACAGCTGAAAATTTCATTTCATTTGAGTATTCCTCTATTTGAAACTTTCTCTTTTTTTTTCTCCACCAGATTTCATCCAAACTCGTGAGTGGGATTGTTTTTTAAAACCCTCTCCCTTGCCTTTATGGCTTAAACCAGAGAGTTCACCTAGGATAGCAATCAACTTCGCTGACTGTGGGGGCGTGTGCGTGCAGGAGAGAAGACTGAGGACAAGAGGAGGGAGGGGGAGCTCCGAAACGGAGACAGGCGATGTCCCCTGGGGGGCCATGGAGAAGGTCAGGAGCTCCTTTGCACCCTTCCTCATTGACTGCTTCTTGAGAGGGTGGGCAGCTCTCTATTTCTACTTGAAGACTTCTTTCCCCTGACCCTGGTACTTCTATGCAGTGGTAATCAGCTCCAGAAGGTTCTCACCCTTGCCTCTGTCTCTTTTCTGTCTTCTGCCTCTCCCACTTTTCTGAAGCCAGGCTCTGAGTCTCAGGGGTGGTGTTCAGGCCAAATTAGCTCACAGGATGAGGGCGTTCATTCCTACTCAAGAATGGGGCCAAAGGAGTGACTTCCAAGCACTGAGAGTAGCCAGGAGGAAATTCTTTGGAGAAAGGCTAAAATCACAGTTCCTGGCCCATGACTTTGCTGTTTCCTGGTGGGAATAGGGATTTGGGGGTTGGGAAAGGAATACATTTTCCTGTTAACTTCAACCAATTTAAGTCTGATAGATGCACAGTACTTATTTGCTGTTGCATCTTTTGTTTTTGTTTTAAAGCTATGAGGTCTACATAATCACACTTGGGCTTTCCAGTTTCTTCAGTGCTTCCTCCTTCCTGCATTATTAGAGCAAGGATCGAAGCCTTTGCTTAAAGCCTCAACTCTCAGGGCCTAACCCACCTGCCCCACCTATGCACAAACTTACAAAGAGACATTCTCAAAAAGTTACAAAAATTTACATACTAGAAGCAAGAAATATATCGCATGTGAATGCCCTTTGTCCAATTTCTGTTAGGTTTGTTCTGGTTTTTTTATTAGCCACAACCGTCATTCACACAATAAACGATGAATACTGGTTGAGCACCTACTGGGCACCATTCAATACAATCTGTGCTGGAGATGCAAAGAAGAATGAGATAGTATCCTGTCCTCAAGGATCCAGCATTAAACCCTCCATTGAAAAGCTGTTAAGTCCCTACATGGGCCCCATACTGTGCCTAGAAAATCACAAAGACACAACCCCTGTTCCATTTGGAAAAGCCATTAAGTGACAGAGAGCACTGCAGGTGTCATCCTTAGAGGTGGCAAACCACAGCCACAGACTCACACTATACTTAGCAGTGTGTTCCCTTAATATCACATATACATGCCAGGAGGAGGAATGATGGTGAAGATGAGCACATAAACACAGTAGCAAATGCAAAAGGCATTGGTACGACTTATATGACCAGATAGAGCAAGGGAGGCTTATGGTCATTATTGGATCAATTCAGCAAATTTTCCCAGATGACATAACTGAGCTTGTGGCCCAGCTTGGGAACAGGTTTGGGACAAGGAGAGGGCCAAGTTCAGAAGGCAAGGAATAGTAATACAAGCAAGAGGGTAAGGTCAGCAGAGCTCACTGGTCTTAGATACAAAGAATCAATGCATTGGGCTTTATCTTTAGTGATGTGAAAAACTGTTAGAATTCTAGCCCAAGAGGGGTAAGAAAAGTAAAATGAAAATGGCAGTTCAGCAAAAATAGAAGAAGATAATTCTGGCTGAGGTGGTGAAGGTCAGTGGGAGAAGACAGGTAGCTTTAGAAGAAAGAAGTCTGACGAGGAAGAAGGTTCCCATAGGAAATGATCAGTGTTTTTTCTCAGGCTGTGGCAGTAAAAGAGATAAACATGAATAAAAGATTTAATATCAAGAGAGGAAAGAGGCCACTGGATTGGCTAATGAAATGGATTAATAAAGTGAAGACTAGAAATGAACTGCACATCACTCAGAGGTTCTCTGTCACGGTGCAGGCAAAATGGAGGCTCAGTCAGTGAGGAGTTGGACATAGTGGAGGGTGGGGAAGAAACCCAGGAAGGACCAGCTATTTTTTAACGTAGATGGTGAATCAGGTAAGGAGTATGCCTTGGAAGCAGAGTTCTGCTGGAGAAAGGCCTGCCCACTTCTGATTCCTGCTGTCTCCCTTCTTCAGCAACACTGCCTCTGCTCAGCAGGGTTTCCATTCATCAGTCACACACTTCACCTCGAAGAAGGTTCAGGTGGCTGTTTCAGGGCTGCCCTTCTTCCCCAATTCTCCAGATTGCCCCTCTTTCTTGATCTCATGCTCTCTCACCACTTACCATTTAGAACAGATTAAGGCACTATCTTAGGCTGGGTTCTCTGGAGGAGCAAAACCAGTGAAGCATGTATATATGCTTCACTGGTCCCCCTTCTTTAGCAACCCTGCCTCTGCTCAGCAGGGTTTCCATTCATCAGTCGTCGCCCCAAAGATTCCAGTGGCTATTTTAGGCCTGCACTTCTTCCTGCCCCATGTGTATATATATATAGGAGCCTTGGTGGCACAGTGGTTAAAAGCTTGGCTGCTAACCCAAAGGTCAGCAGCTCAAATCCACCAGCTGCTCCTTGGAAACCCTATGGGGCAGTTCTGCTCCATCCTATAGGGTACTGTGAGTTGGAACTAACTCGATGGCAATGGTTTTCTTTTTTTTTGGTTTATTTACACACACACACACACACACACACACACACACACACACACACAGAATGAGAGTGAGAGAATGAGAGAGAGAGATTTATTTCAAGAAAATGTCTCACGCAGTTGTGGAGGCTGGCAAATCCCAAATCCATTGGTCAGATGTCAGGCTGGAGGCTTCTCCTGACTTGGTTGCAGGGCTATGAACCCAAAATCTGTACGTCAGAGAGCAGGCTGCTAGCTCACATCCCAAGAACTGGAGGTCATAGGATGATGAGTCTGATGCAGGATCCAGAGAGAGCAGATCCTTTGCCAGAACATCTGTATATATTGGATACAGACCACGCTTCCAAGGAAATTCTCCTTTCAGCTGATTGGCTGCTCACATCAAATCACAAAATGGAAGATGATTACATAAAATCTGCCCAACCACTGAGAATCATGGCCTAGCTAGCCGTGTTGACACATAACCTTAACCATCATAGTCCACCCCATGTCAACTTGGCACCTGTACACATCTCCTTAAACCATATATAATCTCTAAATAAAGACAATTATAAAGTCATATTTGCACCTAACATGACACAACTAACATGCGTACAGCCAAAAACGCACTAGTCCTGTTTACATCTTATATTTTATAATAAGTAACGGAATAAGAGAGGGAAAGAAAACACAGATAATTGCTATTATATATATATGTATATACATACATACACACACACACAGACACACATACATGCACTTACACATAACAAAACAAGGAAGAAATTAAACAACTACAGTCCTTGTTTCTGCAACTGGTCATGTGGTCATAGCTGGTATTTACAACTACCTTCTTCCACCACCCATTCCATATTTCCTTTGCCCTCAGCAAGCACCCCAACTGGTCGTGTTTCTTTGCTTGGTGGGGTGACCCAAACCTTCATTCCTGAAGGGTCTGGGCCATTAATAGTCATGTTGGAGTTGGGTTGCTATAGTTTTCCATTGACTTTAATCACAGAGCATGGTAGTACTAAGGGATGTCCTAAGGGATCTCCTGCATTCCAGACATACTGTTGTTTACCTCCATTATGTGATATCAATCCGATTTCCTCTTGGTATTCAGGATCAATCACACCAGCCAATGTGGTAACTCCCTTCTTTGCCTATTGATCCAGAGTCATAAGGAGCCCAAAGTGGCCAGGTGGCGTTTTTAGCTTCCAGTTCAATGGAATCAGTGATGTTTCTCCAGGTTGGCACATTCCTCCCTTTGGAGCTAAGACCTCTAGACCTGCAGAGCATAGGGTTGTAGATATAGGAAGCAAAAATTTTGTGAGTGGGTCACTAGATGTAATGGTGAGTGTTATGGATTGAATTCTGTCTCCCCAAAATGTGTGTCAACTTGGCTAGGACATGATTCCCAGTATTGTGTGGTTGTCCACCATTTTGTCATCTGATGTGATCTTCCTATGAGTTGTAAATCCTACCTCTATGGCGTTAATGAGGTTGGGATTAGCAGCAGTTATGTTAATGAGTCAGGACTCAATCTACAAGATTAGGTTATGTCTTGAGTCTCTTTTGAAATAGAAAAGAGACAAGTGAGCAGAGAGACAGGGGACCTTATCCACCAAGAAACAAGAGCCAGGAGAATAGCATGTCCTTTGGACCCCAGGGTTCCTGGAGTGAGAAGCTCCTTGACTGGGGAAGATTGATAATAAGGACCTTGCCCCAGAGCCAACAGAGGCAGAAAGCCTTCCCCTGGAGCTGACGCCCTGAATTCCGACTTCTAGCCTACTAAGCTGTGAGAGAATAAATTTCTCTTTGTTAAAGCCATTCACTTGTGGAATTTCTGTCATAGCAGCAGTAGATAACTAAGACAAGTGAGTGATGCCACTCCCATTTCTACCCCTTGATTCCTGGACCCATGAATCCTGGCTATGGGAGAAACATCACCATATATTGGATGCTGGTTTAGAGCATATACAGCCTCCTGGAGAACATTGCTCCAGCCCTGCAAGGTATTGCCATCTAGCTGGCATCGTAATTGTGTCTTTAGAAGGCCATTCTATCGTTCTATCAAGCCAGCTGCTTCCGGATGATGAGATGGTAAGACCAATGGATTCCATGAGCATGTGCCCATTGCCACACTTCATTTTCTGTGAAGTGTGTTCCTGATAAGAGGCAATGATGATGGATAAGGTATTCTGTAAGTCCACAGATGGTAGTTTTGTCAGAAGCATTGTGTGCAGGGAAGACAAATCTGTATCCAGAGTAAGTGTCTATTCCAGTAAGAACAAAATGTTGTCCTTTCCATGATGGAAGTTGTCCAGTGTAATCAACCTGCCACCAGGTTGCTGGCTGATTGCCCCTAGGAATGGTGCCATAATGGGGACTCAGTATTGGCCTCTGCTGCTGGCAGATTGGGCACTCA